TATGATAACATATTTGGATGAAATTTCATGTCATCTTGTACCGTGATTAATCATCCAGTTAGCACATGTGGAAATACACTCATTTCTAAGTCACTTGATCTATTTTTTTTAATTATTCTGTCATTTACCTGATTCAGTTTTATTCAATATCTTAAAAATCCACGTAGTCTGTAGTAAAAATACTACAGTACTTATCCTTCTTTTCAACTCGGCTTATCTAATTGGATGTACTTAAGTTCGGTTTACAGTCTATAATTAGTACATTTCTAGGGATGTGAGTCGTTAGTCCGAATACTGACTTACTTGTAGAAAATGAGTATGAAAAATTAGGTGTAATTCAAGGTTTGAAATATGAAATTATGCTTGGTTATTGAAGTAATGAAGTTAAAATTCTCTAAAGTGACTCATGTTCAGATAAAATGACATTTTATTGATAAGACATGAAATATCCTGCAAATTCAAGATGGACAACTTATTTTTATGAAGTTATCTACAAATGAATATCAGATTCTTGGGATTTTCATCAGTCCTATATTCTTCAGTTTACTGGAGTACTTTGTTTTTGACTTCAAACTCTTGAAGTTGAACTATACTACGTAATCTCCAATTTTAAATCTTTACTGATTTAGATGAATGAGGGGACTGCACATCGGTAATTAATATACTTCGTCAATTAAATTGAGAGTATACTTTATTCATCAATCTAAGTTTCTTGTTTCTTTTCCATCTTGAAAAGTCGAACACTGGTACTCTACTAAAAGAGGGAACTGAAAGACTTAAAGCCTGATCAAATATTAGAAAACTGAAAGTTGTACCACTATAACATTTGAAATGAACATTACCACGTCTTATGAATTACCACATAAACAAATATGTTACTTAAAGAAATAATGAAATCATCGTTCTCTTAGAAGAAAACTTCGAAAGAAGCATAAATACACATTAGGAAAGCAAAGTGAACAGTTTTTAGAATACTATCAAAAGGCGGTATACAAACTTGATCATAAAGATTTTTGTTCGCTAAAGTGTCAGCTAAAGTTGGAAGGTTCCAAAATTAGTTAATTCCTGAAATTCTGAATCTTATCCACATTATGATTTTGACACTGATTAATATGGTCTAAAATACTGTTAAGATATTAATAAATTTATCCTTGTTGAGTTTGTAATTTTTGTTAGCAGAAACATTAACACCACTGGATGCCGGCTCATTGGTCTAGTTGGTTAAGCGCTTGGTGCGAGACTGATAGGTCCTGGGTTCGAATCTCGGGGGGTGCGGGATCGTAGATGCGCACTGCTGAGAAGTCCCATACTAGAACGAAACGGCCGTTCAATACTTCCAGGTTTTCCATGATGGTCTAGCTTCAATTGAATCATGATTTAAACCTGTGAAATTTCTAAAATATCCACAAACCCCTTCTGAAAATACTAATATTTAGTAATGTCACTCTAGTCCACCAAAGTTAAAGAAACTTAAGACTCCAAATTTTGAAATTAAAAGATATCGTAATCACTCATTACAGCATAAAGGTTAAAACTACTAATTCATCATGCTGATGTGTTTTACTGTGATAATTCAACGATTCCCTGAAAGAAAAAGGTTCCATTAAAAGAGTTCTTTTTGATAATACAATATACTTGTTCACGAGATTGTAGAAATGATGTAAGTATGATCATTATGGGTTGTATGTGAATAGACTATCAATCTTGATTGTTTAATGTTGATTTAACTAAATAATTTATTGTTAAACTTAAAATAAATATCGTGAATTGATTTTAACTGGTCTAATGTAGGAATAGTCCGTGATATAAACTATATAATTTCAATAATCTCCACAAATTCTTGTACCAATCAAAACAAATACGAAAGTATGATGATTTAAAACTTATTCCAGGTGCGAATATAGTAATGAGACAATGGTCACGTACTCCGACTCAAAACGTTTTGAAATACTGAAGAAAACGTAACATTTGAACCGAACTGTTGCCTCATTAATTACACGTAATTTCCTCCAAAATTGGAATCTAAACTCTTATAGCATTCTAGATGATCAATTCCATGATAATCACGACTGCCTGAATTTCTTGGTGTTCTATACCAAGTGAAGCCAAACTTAGGTCCATAGCTAACCGTCCCCGATTCATAATACTTTGTACATTTTGGTAAGAATAATACTGATCTAGTTCGAACAAAATTATTAATTATACTGTCAATGATAAACACGCTATTCAGCATATAATTAAGTGAATTAATTTCTCTGAAATCTTTCCTGTATATTTTCTAATTTTAGTCGTAAAGAGATGACTGTAAGAACATATAAGTCGTTTTATTGTATGCGCAATCAATAATTATTACAGACACTCAAGTCCTTTCATTCCATAAACTGTGAATTTGATGACAGTAAATTAGAGGTATACTGCGGGAAATATTCAGTAATCGATATCAGTAGATATCGGAAACCTCAAGATTCTCAATAGACGCAAACTTGCTTTGTTTTGTGGTGTAACTAAACACTTTATTATCATGTTCAAATGTGGTTATCATTATACAGTCAGCAATATATATCCTTAAAGCGGATCACTATTACTGGTGAACTTTCATAAGCCTGGAATCCTATTGAATAAATTCAAGCTACTGGAAAGATTCGATATCTTTAGTGATGTTACATTCTCTGAAATGGGTGATCTAATTGTGAATTTTTACGTTGTTATTGGTAAGTAAAATTACCAACACCCACTTGGAATACAAGTGAAACTGTCATTATCATCTACTAGTGGCGAAGAGACGCCTATAGCTAATGAGTTTTTAAATGAATTACAATGTATCGCAAATTAAGAAGTTTTTCACAACTTCACATATTAAGAATATATGTATATGCGAAAGGTGTTCGTTAATATCGAGAAAATCAATAATCATTGGTTTAGGTAATGAAACGAACGCATTATATAATTGAATAAGAATTATTTTTCGAAAATATCATTTAATGAGGCTGCACAATTGTATTTATGGTGATTTTATAAGTATAATAGTTTACTGAAACACAGAAGTAAACCCAATTTGAGCGTACCAATACTTATTGAAAGTATAAATCATCCGACTACATTATCTCATACTAGAGCGTTACTTAAATGTAACCCACATACTAAGAGCTAGTTTATATACTTTGCGAAGTCAAAACGATTCATTCACATAATACAACTTGAATAGTTTTCATCAAATTACAAAAATTACCTAACAAATATGTGAAAGTACCATCTCATGGAAAGGAAATGTACAGAATTCGTACCAATATTAATACAAACAAAATGCATTTGTCAACTGAAATCAATTTCATTATATCTTATTTAAAAGAGCTATAAACTCAGTAATGTTTTTTCATATAGCAGTTACCTATTATAAAATCACCCAGATTTCTGATAACCACGTAACTTGAATGTGTAGTAATTATGATTATTTCTAATTCCTAGTTACTGCAGTATAAACTCTGGAACTATCTAATGTCAACCAAAGTGTCTATATATATATATATATATATATGTACATTCATTTATAGTCCATAGTTTAAAGTTAATAACTCTCAAGAAAATATTTTGTAAAGGCACACTGTAGTCTTGTACTAGTAGTCTTCAGAGAATGAAATTATGTAACTAAAGATGAAAATGTTGTATGTGAATAATCTATCACCTTAAAACTAAAGCCTTTGTGATTGAATAAGATGTTAGGAAAATAGATCTCAAGTTAAGTAATTTATTCAGGTTAATTAAGCTAATTTCTATTATAAAACAGGCATCAGGTAGAGAATCTCTGGCAAATAAAAATTGTTGAGTAGCTGTATCCCCTTTTTTATAACTCTCCAACAGTAAAAATAATTAACTTTGCATAAAACCCGCTTAGGACTTTCAGATCACACTGTGAATACGATATCTGTAAATTATTGAATCGATTCATATTTTCTAGCTTCAGTCTATTTGTAATAAAACATGACCAAACTAGTTTGAAAATCTATTCAATGCTTTACAGCTTTGATTTTGATCAGTAATAGCAGCTACTACTTGTTCAAAGTGATTTATTCAGGTTCCAAATTTTGTCTAAAGCAAAAGAACTATCGTTTTCATAAGAGACTATAAAGATAAAGTTTGCATAAGTTATTTTTTCCGGTGCCTTAATTAATCCAATGTTACATATAACCAACTGTTGTTTTGAGTAAGTTTACTTAACCACTTAATCATATAGGATAATTAGCAATCGTTAGTGATAACTTAAGCACCTTTTTATACATTACGCACTGACAAGGTACATTTACGCAATACTGATAAGGCCCAGTAGAATTGAAACGTGACTCGTTCTAGTTACTAATCCTACTACAAATTTTAATGGCTCATTAACTAGGATATCAAGATGTTAGTGAATATCATTATTAAATCAATTCTCAGATCCCTGATAAAAAACGTACCAGCATGTGATTTCTCGTCCAGAAAACAAATTACCGCGGTATGTAAAATAACTTCAATTTTATTTGGATGAAACCTATTTACAATAGAATTGATTAAAATAATTAACTAATCAAAATAAATAAGGATTTTTAACACATTTGTATGGTCTAGTCATGATTAAAGATAGTATGCTCAAAACACATGTAGCTACATGTATGGACTCTTGAGGAAAATCAGATAATAACTAAAATTTACATGTCAAAAGAAGAGAATCAATAAGTTGAAGAAAAATGGAAAGAAAGGACATCATCACGGAAAAAATACTGTCAAAGGTGATTCACTTACAATAAATGAAATTAATTCTAACATGTCATCAATGTAAATGAATTATGAAGTGTTGAGTAAAACTACTCGTAATTATGTAAGTAGTAGGAGTAATACTACAATTGTTCGGACTCTAATAATCATCACCATGTTGTATTGCTACATTACATTTGATGACAATAACAGTCATAATAAATTACATAAAAGATAAAATCGCTTACTGAAAAATACAAAATGGCCATGTTTTAGATTTTTGCCCCATTTACAGGTAAAGTATAGTGTAAATCGTTATCTCTATTATTCTGAAATTGAACATAACTATTTGTATTCTTGATTATGTCAGAGTGTGTATTTAAAAGTGATCCATACACACCTAATAAAAAATCCATAGATTCTTGAATTTTTCTTTCAGGAGCTTTATTCAGTTGTTTCTGTTGTGAATCAGTATTCATTAACATTAGTTTTTTCATCATGGTACTACTCTGTGGAGAAATATTGATCCCTTTTGTTGGTGATGTTAATTGTTTGTTTGTAGATAAACTATTAATTTGGGACTTTGGTGTATCCCATATTTTTGAGTTAGAACAATCTAATTTAAGATTACTTGAAAGCCACTGTTCATCAGAGAATTTAGTTTCGTTTGTATTGCGTAACATTGAATTGGGATAAGAATTCATCAATGAAGGAGGATATTGTCCATGAGAAAGAGGATACAGAGGTGATGCTGATAACTTAGATGATAGATTTATCGACGTCAGTGGTGATGTTGATGGCGCTGACGATAGAGGTGGAGGAGGAGATAAATGTTCTGAAATGGGATTATATTTATGGGCGTTGGATCGATGAATACTTAAATGATCTAAGATTGGTTCATAATTATTTGGTACATATGATCTGTTGTAAAATGAGTTGTCATAAACAGGATTACTGCATGGATTTAGGAAAGGTGATGATAAAAATGGCGTTTGTTCGACTGAAATACGATTAAATAAATCTAAGAACGGTGGTACATCATCAACTGATGGATGAAATGAATTTAGGCCATTACTATTATTATTTGATATGAACTGTGATTTATGCATTACTGTAGGATGATGATGAAACATTGCAAGTGGAGTTGATGAAAACTGTTCAACATTAGATGGAATTGAATAATTTCTAGCCAATGATGCATAATAACTAGCCAAACGTAGATTAAATAATCGACTACGTTGTAATGAATTTGTTCGACGTCTTAATTTTCCAGTTGTACCTCCAATATATACATCTTCACATGATGGATCAAGCATCCAATAATTACCTTTCCCTGGATCATCATATGCACGTGGTACTTTAACAAAACATTTATTTAGTGATAAATTATGTCTGATAGAATTTTGCCAACCTTGTTTGTTGTTTTTATAATATGGAAAATTAGTTGTAATAAAATCATATATGCCATTTAATGTTAAGCGTTTCTCTGAACTATTTCTAATTGCCATCATAATTAATGCATTATAACTGAATGGTGGTTTATCCGAATCAGGATTCTCTTTTGTTTTATTCGATTTTGATATTTCATCTGTAACACTGTTGACATCATCTTCATCTTTTTCATTCTCTTTACTTTCTTTATCATCTTCATTTGGTTCATCGTCATCATCATCATCACCATCATGATCTTCACCTTGATCATCATGATCATTGTCATCACCTTCCTCCTTCTCGTTATCTTCTGATAAATGCTGTCGTTTACTTTCATGATTTTCATCTTTGTTGTCATTGTGTTCATAATAGTTGTTATTATTCATGCAATTCTCATTTCTATTAATATGATCAGTCAATTTGCGTTTCCTTTGTATAGGCGAACTACTCAATGGATTATTTGATAACATCGGATCAGATAATGAATAATTTAATGATTGTGGTGTTGATGGACTAATCGACAAAGAATCACTGGTTGATTGATAATTCATAGTATCTTCAGGTAATGTAAGATTAGTCATAACAGATGAATGATTCATATTTTCATTATGTACTGTTGTTGGCGTTGTTGACATTGTTGATGTTGTTGATAATCCAGATAATAAAGTAACAGGAATATTATTAGAATGATTAGAATTCAAATAATTTTCCCATGTATTATTCGATGTTGAATATCGATGAAGATTATATGTTTGATGATAATGTTGTTGACAATGATTACTGATTAGATTATGAAAAATATCATTCATTTCATAGTTTTGTAAACCATTATTATTAAGTTGTTTTTCTTTCAATTTATGTTCAATATTAGTCAATGGTGTATTTATAATATTTGAATTGAATGGACTCAAAGATAATAGATCTTGTTTTGTATTTTCAGTAGTGTCATGATCATTCAAGTTATTCATAGAACATTTCACAGTAGAATGTTCTTGTTCATCAGTTAAATTTAACATAGATTGTATACTAAAATTACTAATCAATTCATTAGATCCATTATGTTGTTGTGACGACATTTTGTTCATAGTTTTTTTTTTTGGTATCCGTAATGTAACTTTTAAGATTGTTCAAATAATTTATAGACAATTATATACTTTATATTTTTCATTGTATAAGTTAATTATTTGTTTCTATTTTATATTCAAAGCCTAAAAAAACCAGTAAATTTCCAATAACCATTAAGCAGTTAATTTTCGCTTCTCTCATATGAAATTTTTCCAACCAATAAGAATGTACAATATACAGAACAGGTTGAGATTTTGTTCGTTTTTTTTTGGTTTCGTTTTGTCTTGTTTGTTTGTTTGCTTGTTTGACAATAGTTAGTTACGGGTGTAGACTTTTTCTATCTCTATATATGAAAAATTATGGTGATAATAATTTAGAAAAGAAACTATTCATTATAGGGGTAAAGAAATAAATATATTTCTCCATTATGTATATATATGTATCACTCACTATACACATAGTTAATAGGGGGAGAAAGATAAAGTTGATTTTCATGAAATTTATGTAAATATATGTGTATCTATATATTTTTTTTGAACGATGCACATCCATGACAAAATAAAGTCAATGTCTGTCTGTATAAATATTATCAGTATTATTCCATTGGCTAATAAGAGAATATTTTCATCACCAATTTTTCTCGCATTAATGTCAAAACATTTATGTGTATACAATGAAAAAATGGACTGATTTGTTGATTATAACATAAGATTAGAAATTTAAAGAAACTAAATTGAACAATGTCAAGTCAAAGACTAAAACTGAATAGACACGAAATGTTTTTTTTCAATTATTTTTTTTAAAAAGAAGAAAAAGACAGAAAAATAGTTATTTGAAATGATGGATAGTGGCTAGCAATGGAATCTAGGACAAGCGTTTCGTCCTATATTGGGACTCATCAACTGAATATGCCTGCATTTTATAGTTGATATTCACTTAGAGAATTGAATCCAGTACTGTTCGCTTTAAACGCTATCACGTTATCCACTTAGCTACTGATTCCTGATAGCCTTTTGCCTTTGTAATATGGTGAAGTTTAAATTCTATTGGTATTGTTTGTTTGAATCCTCCCGTTGATGTTTAGGACTGCGATTGATCAGTCTCTTATCGGCGTATGTTTGATACTGTGTGTATTGTCTTAATTCACAAGCATTATAAGTAAAAATGGATAGTGACTAGATTCAAGTAAACAATACCAAGTGAAGTTATTTGAAGTGTTATGATGTCGATTTTTTGGTTTTAATAACTATACAAGTAGAATAAACAAACAATTTATTTAAAAGGTAGTAGTATATTTTTTGACGTATGTATTGGTTTTGAGAAGATTCGTTTAATGTTTAGGTAGCATTTATCAAGCATTGAGGTACGATTACAAATTAGAAAGTTCTGAACAAATATTTGCCTCTAGTATGAGATTACTTAGAAGCGCACACTCACTAATCCACCAAGCATTGAGTCCAAGACTTTCAGGTTTCGTTGTGGGTACCTAGCTATTGGACTACTGAGTTATTTTCCGATATTACACATTTCCAGTTTCAGTCAATTTGTGACATAGCGCAATAATCATCCATTGACACTGATAACAACTGTTTTTTGGTAATTATTGTTAATTTGTTGTTGATATTCTTTACAGGCTGACCTCACTTAGAGTAGAATATTTTGAAGAATTTGTTCAGTTTCAATATTAATTGATGTAAACTTAAGAATCACTTAAATAAGTCAGGGTACAATATACAAAATATTGATCTTCTGTTTAACTATTCAATAGTCTACACACACTTATGCAGCCTCAAGAAGGATTAAAATGTTTACGTTCATATGTTACAATCAGCACTATTTTATTCAGACCACGTAGTTGGGATCCAGTAATTTATATTTCTGTTTACTATATAGTTCAACTAGCATTCACTTCTTTCTGTGATTTATATCTTACTTCATGACGTGAGTGAACTTAAATGGTCATAACTTCCCTTTTTCAAAATATTTATTACTAAACTTTGTATTATGGAAAGTTAATTGATTTCCACACATAATTTAGGTATATTCATTCTTTGCTTAGTTTAACTAAATATATTATCTTCCTATAGTTTCCAGAAACTTATTTAAAATAACGCTGCAAATATATATCAAAGATGTTTCAGTTAAGCATTAGTGCTTCGCGAATGTAATTATTTTATACCCTGAACTTTCGTAATATCTTATATAATTAATAGGATTCAGATTTTTTAGTTAAATTATTCCTTGAAAAGCGGATGTAACTAACTAAAAATACTGTTAAAAATAACAAATCAAAAGAAAACACTTCATTGAAACTATTTCCTGATACTTTAACATGTTTGAAATATGACCTTTACCACTAAATTGCATCACCTCAGAAATAATTTTCTTGAAGTTACATTGAGAAACCAGGATCTCTGATGTCATTTATGGTAACAAAGAGAAGGATACAATAGTTCGTTGATAGCATTGGACACAACCCGCTCATACGACAAAGACTGTGAGCTTTAACGAAGCTTTGTTTGTCCCAAAACTTGGCGATGTTGGGTCTAATCCCTATACTGGATGTGTGTACATTACTGAAAAGTCTGAATCTGGTTCGAATTAACGATCCTCTGCTTTCTAATCTTCGAGAGTTTACTAGCTAATTTTAGGACACGTAAATTATCTTTCAATCATCGATATCCCTCTATAAATCACATAAGCAAAAGAAACAATTCAAAACATATCAAGAATGTTTCGTCTATTTATACTCCAAATACTTTCTTTTTCAGTAAGTCTTAGTGTGAACATAAATCCGAATAATAATGCATTTTTTAGAGAGAAATTATCATGGGATACAAATGAATTTATAAACTAAAGTCTATGTCGATCGTCCAGGATATATCTAATATAATAAATCTGTTTCAGTACTATGATAGTACAACTTTACATTTAACAGGTATCGCTCAGCAGGAAATAACTATATTTAATTTCTTTTAGTGTATGCAAATAATTTTATACCTGAAATATAATATAATCATTAATCAAATCCACTGATGCATAATACCATATATTAAGCATTTAATATTTCGTTTAAATCCTGTTAAACATTTGAACAGATCAATTTCTCATTCTGATATTAAGCAAGTAAATACTGTATGATTTTAATTAAGATTATGCAACAGTTTCATGAGATTGTATTCAAATTAATTATTACTCATATGTATATAAGATATCATGTTTTAATTTAACACAGTACTTCTTTATTACAGATATTTACTATATAAATAAAGGCAATGATCTGTTTTCTTCCAACTGAATTCTTGTACAGCTATGTTTAATGTAAACCATCCAGTAATCATGTTTTTTAAAACAAAATTTACAAAAATTAGAAGTCCATATTCAGTAACATATAAACTAAATTACAAAAGTTCCAATTGGCAGTCTATGGAGAGAATAATATCAATACATTATATTTACTTGCATTAAATATTAATGGCTTATTTGATTTTTAAATTAAGAATTATGATCATTTCTAAATAATGATGATGTGGATTATTATTTGCAACCTGTAGATCGAATACAATATTCTTTCAAATACATTTGTAGATCACTAACTTAGATGATCTATGCTGAGTGACTGGGGGTCCGCTCGAGTTAGAAGGGAACGGTGTGACTAAACAGCTCATTTCAAAGTCACATTTTGTGGTCAGCATTTAACGTGGATTACACCTTTGATGAATCAAAGTACTATGGCTGCTTGGAAGACCGTATAACACAAAGAATGTTATTACGGAAATATAATGGTATGAATGAGTACAGAGAATATAGAGAGACCACCACCGCATGGACCAGTGCATGGTTGGTTGTCTTTGACTTTGACAGGGATCGATGACCTGTTCGATATTCATTGACCGGATAATTTAGCTAGGGCTCAGTGACATTTCATTGGCCCTACACTTTCAACACGCACTGACAAATAATCTATAGGATAAAACAAAAATTTCAGTTTTAATTAAATTGAATTCCTCGAAATGATGAAACAGATTTCTAGCTTAGGTTATGTTGAATTTTGTAAAATTGATGGATTTATGGTAAAGCTTTAATGATTTTCTGGACAGATTCATCGGATTTTACTTAACGTAGAATTGAATTGTTTAATTATTCCGAAAAGGCTATACTAGATAAATTTTATTACCATGTCTGTGAATGATTGTCTCCAGATTCTTCGTCTGCTTCATTTATCAATGTATTTCGATTGGTTGACTTGTTTGGTATACAATGGTCTACGGTAAGAATATATAGAATTCCTTTTCACAAAAACATGAGTGACCCTTTCTTTGCAAAGTTTAACTTGTATAGAAATGCTATTACTGGGATAATGATTTAGCAAAATTTAAATTTTTTCAGATAAGCGATTTATATAGAAACTCTCAAGCTTCGAGTTTAACTCTCGAATCGCTAAAGAAGATTTCCGTAAGACCACCTGAATAAAAAAATAATAACCATCATCTAACTAGTAATTAGTTTCAAAATGAACTGTCAAAAGTCCTAGATGGTAGTGATAACCTCTTAAGATCTTCATACTGGCGATAAAGCATTTATTGATTATTGATACTGGATAGGAATACAGCTACATCACAAATTAACTAGCGTTGAGAATCACTGAATCCCTAGATTTCAGCTATGCAATTTACAACAGTTTCATGCCTACAGCTAAACTGAGTCTCCGTATGTGTGTGTGTCCATGTACTGTTAAACAGTCTGAAATAAGGGCGAAATATCAGTCCAGCGATCTTTGATTTTCTAATGTTTCATCAATTGGTATAAATTTTTGCTTGTTGTCTACACAAGATACTCAACATCCATTGGCCGGGATACCATCAGCAACAGCCTTCTGTGGGAGAGAACAAACCAACTTCCAGCTGAAGAAGAAAGTAGGAAAAGACTATGGAAATGGATAGGGCATACATTATGCAAATCATCAAACTGCATCATGAGGCAAGCCTTAACTTGGGATCGTCAAGGGAAG